TTTTAAAGGAGCTGTGATAAAAAAGATTCACCAACATTAATAAAAAGTTAGAGAGGATAAACTAGGAAAGGCAGTGACATTTGTGTCACTTGTGCAAACTCTTACGTGAAACCCTTTGCAGGCTGGTTTTCATTTCAGTAAAGCTTTTCAGCTATTAGTAATTTTTATACTTGTTTAATAAAAAGTTTAACTACACTGTTGAAAATATGCTAAGCATGAAGAGTAGGAGAAACACAGAAATGAACACAGTTGATGTGCAAGTTGAGAGAAGCTCCTGTTGAGAGATGGAGAAGAGCTAGAGCCTCAAGTGTAGGAAGAAGGAAGGGACTATACTTCTCACTGTATGTGCATGTTCCAACAGATGTCTGCAGAAAATGGAAAGCAAACTCTGTAAGAGCCAAGAGGTTGATGAGTTGGAAAACTATCCAAGAAAATATATAAAAAATGTGAGGAAGAAGTAACAGTGATTTTTCAGCAAAGAAACTAGAAAATGCAGGCTTTTTCTTGACACGTAAATGCTGAAGTGTGGTGCTGAGGTATTACTGCATTCATATGTCCTCTTCCCTCTTTTTCACTCTAACACTTCGCTTTAAGTTAGTTAAGACATCAGTCCAGCTAAGAATGATCTCGTACATGACAGCTTTCTAGAGCGTTTTCTAACAAAGTGAATCCTAGCTCAGTGGACCAAACAATAGAATTGTCTAAGAAGCAAGCCTGAAGGGACTGATTAAAATAGTATTGGATGGGTATTGGTGATTTTGGCCTCCTTATAAAAGTTTCCAAAGCAAATGCTTGCTTTTTTCTTTTTTTATTTTTTAATTGTTATTATTACTTTGTTGGTTCTGTGAAAGTATTCTCCATCATCACAAGTATTGTAATTAAGTGCAGGATATACTGTGCCTGGACAAATCATGGCTTCTTTAATTTACAGAATAGATTTGAACTCTGAGGTGTCTTCTGCCAAAGGTGAATCACACAGGTGATTGTGCCAGGTGCAAAATGTATAAAAAAGATAGTTTGCTTTGTGCTGTCTCAGGTACTGCATATTTTGACAAGCATCAAAGGATGAAAAAATGACTCTGTGGCTTATAGCCTCACATTTGGGGAGCCATAGTCTTCCCTGAATAGAATGGATTTAGGTTTCTACTTTGGCTGACTTGCCTCTGGCTTGAAATAGGTTGTCTTTATTACTTTGCAAGGGAGTGCTTATTTGCAAAATTAATGCACAGTTATCCATAATAGGCAGATACAAGTTGATATATTCCAGTATATCTGGAATATTTCCAGTCTTCTGGCTGCCTGTGTCCATGTTAGCTTGCGTCAGCTTCCTTGTGTCAGCAGCACTAAAAGGAGAATCAAATTTAATCTCCTGTGATAGAGAATAACCTTAGCTTAATGCTACCAGATAGGACAGAAAAATTTGAGGCATTTTTGGAAAAAAGGATGAGATTATCCAAGCTGTAAAGGATTCATTACTTTTTCGTGGAACTAGAATTAAACAGTGTATCTCAAATAATCATGCTTCTTCCTGTGGGAAGGGATGGGACTTAGATGTAGACTGTACTAGGTGCATTGCAGATTTAATTCATATTAAGATTTCTAGCAGCTGTCTCTTAGGCTGGCATCGATTTTTGTATTTCTGCAAGCTACTTGGCAGTTGTGGTTTTATGGGTTCCTACAGGTGCAGAGTGTAAGTGTAGTGTAGTACTCATAAGAGTAACAAAAAATAGGTCTATTCTTTCTTGATGACCAGTAGGCTTCTTCAGTTTTCTGTCTAGAGAAACTGTGAATCCAGTGTGGATAAAGGGATTACAGTGAGATCCCAAGGGAGGAATGGTGTTGGTGTATACACATTTTACTTGGAAAAACTTGGGTTTATTCTGTTGTCTAGGAACAAGCTCTTTGGTGTACAATGGATTGATGAAAGGATTCTTTATTTCATGGTTTTGCTGTCTCTGTTATTGGGTGGTTCTTTGCTGCTGCCCTGGAATGTGCATGCTTATGGGGAGTGAGATGTGAAAATCCAAAGCCATTTTTGTACATTTAGGATTTATTCAGACAGTTCAAAGAAGCCCCTGTATGTTGTTCAGTGCTGCTGAACTCAAGAGATTTAATTCTTAGTAACCTAGTGCTTCAGGTTTTTTCCACAGAAATGATGGGGATATAGTTTGGCTGAAAGTGTGTAAGGCTGGGGTGGTGCACATGGTGCAAACTTAGCCAGGTTACCTGAACAAGTAGGTCTGCAAGGGCAAAAGACGGGCAGAAGGTGCTGGCTCTGCTGGCTGTGTAAGTGTAACAGGCATGGTGTATGTTTTGTGTGGCGTAAGCTGTGGGTACTGTGATGTGCAGAAGCAGACATTTTTGAGTCACATGAGGTTGCCTGCATAGAGTACCAGTTCCAAATGCTAGTTAGAAAAAGGCTGGAGTTCCTTCAGTTGAACTCAAGTAGTCAGAAACTATGCATAGTAGAATGCAGAGTATTTGGAAGGGGGTTGATTCTCAAGGAGCTGGCTAGTTAAGGGCTGCTTTGGACCACAAAAACCCCTGTGTATAAGCATATTCTCTGATATGCCATGCCAGAAGGTAATTTTTCTATAAGAAAAAATAAGTAGAAGTTGCTACTTAAGGGTAAATTGTGAAGTTTGGTAATTTGCCATGGCATATGTGTTCTTGTGCATGCTTGATTAGCAATAGAATATGCTAGTCAATACTGGATTTGTGAAACTTTCATCTTGTCTGAAGACTTTTGATGAATATGGGACACGAAATAGGTTTTACATTTCTGTGAGCAGCAAGTAATGATTCGTTGCTGTAGTTGACTTTGATAAATTTCCCTCTGCCTTCAGCATACTTTTAACTGTGTGAATAGCCTTTTGAAGATGGTAGAAATCCATATTAAGTTTGCCTGTGAGATTCACTTGCTGGAAGGCTCTTGGCTTAGTGCACAGATGTACAGCAGGTAATTCAGGGCACCATTTTCAGCTCCTCTGAGCAATGTTGTCTTCCATTCGACTTCAATGTCAGCTTCTCAGGTGAAGGCATTTTTACCATAGCCTGGCAGCAAGTTAATTTTTTGTTCCTAAGTTTGTTTTCTTCATTAGTCACTCAGGTTTTGCTCTTGCACAATAATAACTTAGCAGGAAGATTTCTGCCCTTGTTAGAGGCTGTTTGATTCTCTTGCCAACAACTAAATAATATGCTTCTGTGCATATTGCTGGTGCTCAGTTATATTTGTTATCCTGTATCTTTACTGTCAGAGGAGCAGCAAAGTTGTGGTTATAGATACAGGAAAGAAAATAACATATAAGCAAGGAAATTACATGTTAACAATATTCAGGAAAAGTATTTGGAAACTCCTCTGACTGGTATTCATTCTACTCAGTCCTGATGAGGCATCACCTGGAGCGCTATGTCCAGTTCTGGGCTCCCCAACACAAGAGAGATACAGAGCTAATGGAGGCAGTCCAGTGAAGGGCCATACAGATGGTAAGGGTTGATGAAAGGAAAGGTGTAGCCAGGCTTTTTTCAGCGGTGCCCAGTGACAGCATCAGTGGCAGTGAGCACAGGATGAAGCACAGTATGTTCCCTCTGTACATCAGGAAACACTTTTACTTTGAGGGTGACTAAGTGCTGGTACATGTTGCCAAGAAAAGCTGTGGAGGATCCATCCTTGGAGATAGTCAGAAGACATCTGGACACGGTCCTGGACCACCTGTTTGTGGAGGGGGTTGAACCAGATGACCTCCAGAGGTCCCTTCTAGCCTCAACCTTTCTCTGATTCTGGGTTACTTTGTCAGTGTAGCACCTTCCCTCCCCACCTAACCCATTGCCAGGCATTTATGTAAATTGCTGATACTGGTTGTAGTCCAGTATATGTTCAGGAAGACTTCTGGTGGGTAAAATTGCCAGAATGACCAATTAATAGAAGTTGCATTGAGCACCAGTGAAACCTCTTTCTGAAGCTAATCCTGAGATGATTTTTTATTTTGCTGGGAATTTTCTGTATATTACACACCCACATTAACAGCATGTTACCAGTTACACAATAACTAAACATCCTAAACTTTTACACTGAACAGGTTAATGGAAATAGTGTTGATTCAAGCTTGTTCTTTTCACCAAGCATACAAATAGCCCTTGCCATCTTGAGAAGAACTAGCAAAATACAGGAGTCCTTTTCTTTGCTGCTGTTTGGCAGTCCAGACTTCAGTGACATAAATTGATTGCCAGTTGAGAATCAGGCTGACCTCTGTAGTTGCCTCAAGGGAATTTACATACAGAGTACTGAAGAGCACACTCCTTATTTGATGTCACTCTACTCTCCTGACTCTTTGTAGTTTGGGTTGCTTGTTCCTAAGCAAAATATTTATGCTTGACTGTAGCTTCTTGATGAAATCTTAGGTCTGGTATCTGTTCTAAAACTTGGGCTGGAAGTGAATCAGTTATTCATAGAATCATAGAATGGTTTTCTGTGTGCACTAGACGTAAATGTATTTTTCATACTGTGTCCAAGGTCTGTAAGAAAACCTGAAGGGTACACAGAGTATAAAAGTCAGGGTATAGAAGGTGCTGTTTAAGATCAAGACATTATATTCTGATGCAAATAGAACACTAGGTCTAGGTTTTGTGAATGTTGTTTACAGAAATTACTTAAGGTTTGAGAGAATAACTCCTTCACCAAGCTTTGTAGTACTGTAGAAATTGGGTTTCAAAGTCTTGCAAAGAAAATACATAATATGATTTAGACAAACATGAAAATAAACTGTTCTTAAGTTGTTTATTTGATGGTTCCTGAATTTTAAAACCAAATGTTATTTTCCCCTGTTTATCTCGTATCACTGACAGTGGGTGAATAGGGTAGCTTTGGGCACTCTTTTAGTGATAATTAAAGTACTTTTGTTATGGACTTCTGCTATTAAGTGTCAAGAAAATGGGAGGGTTTTTGCTTAAGGGTAAATTCTGTAGGCTCTTTTGATTTTAAAAATACTTTTTTCTCTTAGGTGTGGAATATCAAACAGATGATTAAATTAACACAAGAACATATAGAAGCACTGCTAGACAAATTTGGAGGAGAGCATAACCCACCATCGATATATTTAGAGGTAAGTTTACACTGAAATGAATGTGGTTAGATTAATGGTGTGTTATCTTAATGTTATATGAAGCATCTTCTCTTAAAATGGAGACTACCTGTAGTTGAAGGGAATATTCTCCTTGTGTATTAGAAACTTAACTCTTTGCCTGGAGATAAGGAGGAACTGTATGGGATTCCTGATAAACATCAGTAAGGGAAGATCGGTGGCATAATCTGATAGCTATGTTGGTGCAGTTGAAATGTCAAGTATCCTTTTTAGGTGTTGGAGGGAGGAAGATTATATGTAATAGAAATTGTCTCTTTGAAAAGTAATCATGTGGAATAAAAAAAATTAAAGGAATAAATTAAGTTGTAGGGTGGAGTAATATCTTTAAGCTGAGTTTAATTTGTAAACTAACTACAAATTAAATCTCTATATTTTCATCATTCCAGATTAATGAAGTTTCATTGACATAAGATCATTAAGTGCTTAAAAAAGGACTGCATACATAAGTTTGATCTATTGGGAACTGAATGGTATCACTTGCTTCAAACCTTGCCCTTTTCTTGGTTCTGTCAAGTACTGAAATAACTGGAGGTCAACCAGGTTTCTTTTGTAGTCTTTTCAATTGTGATTGCTGCCTAAAGGCACTGGGTAATTAAAAATAAAGATCTCATTATTTGAGGTACTTCTGGCTTTTATCTTAATATATCAGAGCAGGGCACTAGCTTGATTGTACAAATGTTGACATAATGTCCTTAACAGTTAAGGTCAAATGAGGCCCTCTAGTTGCTTTACTTATTGCTAATGTGAAATGGGAATACTGAATGAGTAATAATCACTATTTAAACCACTCAATGATATATTAACACACCTCTGGTTTTATATAAACCGGTTTGTTCCATAGGTGTTCCTAATATTGCCACATGTATGTTGGTTTCATTAGATTGTGTATCAAACTTCAGTAATAACAAGGTTAATCTGTACTAAGTCTGGATTTTGGGTAGTGAAATATTAGCTCATTACAGCCACTTGTCACTTGTGTCTAAACTAAAACTGAGAGCACCACACTGAAAACTTTTTGATTATTCTATAGTTCATTGATAGGGAAGCGGGCATTTACAGTCATAAATGCATACCAGAAAGTGATTACAATCGTGTAAAGAGTGTATTAAGTCTGAAATAGTCAGTGACCTCAAATTATAAAGCTTAAAGTAGATTTTCAAGTTCAATGATTCTGTATGCTACTGAGATGAAACTGCCTCATCAACATGGTAGGGAGCCCCTGCAAGGTGGAGCAGGGTGTTCCTCTGCTGCATGAGTTCTGGTGGATCGTGAAGGTCTTGTGAGAAGTAGTGCTGGTGCTGACTAGGGAGCAGTAACTCATTGGGAAGATGGAAGTGACTTGGATTCTGCTTTTTCAGTTGGATTATCCCTTGAGACAATGAAGTCCTGTGAAAAGAGCCCACCATCACTGAAATGAAAAGCCAGTGGATTAGTTTGCTGTCCTGTCTGTAGCTTGGAACTTGGTCATGATGAAGTCCGGTGAGCCCCAAAGATGTGGTTAAGCGTAGGGAAAGGTAGGAAGGAGCAAGAGCTTGCAGCTGTGTGCCAAGAACCTAGGAAAGGAGGTGAGAGAAGAGAGGAAATTTCTATTTGGTCATTAGCTTAGATTAGATTATTCTCAAATGTCCTGACTGAAGAGAATAGGTATAGATGCTGCAAACCTGACATTGTTTATGTGTAGATTTCATGTGGTAGAACTCAATTGTGAAGGAAAAAAAAATGGTCTTACAAAGTAAATGAGACAGTAAGAAGCAAGATTACTGTTTACCCATGGCTTCATTTCAACCCAGTGAAGTTACCTAGTGTGTCTTGTGCTTTTTTGTACTTCTTTTATTTGCTGCATTTGGCTTGGTGGAGAAGAGGGGTTGCTCTCTATTGTCGGAATTTACTTTGCAGCAGTTTACCTGAATCTCATCTGTCACTGCTAGAGCTAGTGTTTTGGTTTTCTGTAGTATTCTACCTGTCAGTAAAAGGTGCAGAGCAACCCTGGCAGCAACATGGAAGGACAAAGCTGTATCTAAAAAGCTATGAAAGTAGTGTGATATGAAGTGTGGAAGAACACATTTGCTTCTAGGAAATGCAGAACTAAGAAAATATAGGAGTTTTGATATGAACAGAAATAACAGAAGAGCATATAGATTACATGTGAGTAGCTTAAGTGGTTCAATAGATGACTTGTCTGACATCTGTTAGAAAAAGCTAACTCTTTATGTACAGAGCCACTGTGCAATGTTGGGCCTGTTTCTCAAGTTTCATGCCTAGGCATCATTGATTTCTGTGCATGACCTCTTTTTCTCTCCAGGCTTTTCACATGTAGGCTATGTGTAGGTCTTGAAGCTATGGTCTGTGTACTATCTCCAAAGTGCTTGAACAGGAAAGTAATGTACTGATGCTCTGTCCATTCTCTTCTGACTTTTCTAGTTTTACTGTTTTGCTGAAGTCTCGATTCTGGCTGTGAGTGTAATGTTGCTCTGCATTTACCCAGAATCTGTATGAGTAACCTTGCTAGTGTACTACTTGGAGTGCATCATCTTTCCCTTTGTTTCCTTTGAATCATAGAATAGTTTGGGTTGGAAGGGGCTTTTTGATGGTCCTTTCTGCAGTAAGCATCTTCAACTAGGATGAATTGCTCAAAGCACTGTACAGCCTGACCTTGAAAGTTTCCAGGGTTGTGGCATCTGCCATCTCTCTGGGCAACCTGTTCTCGTGTTGCACCACCCTTACAATAAAACATTTCTTCCTTATATCTAGTCTGAATCTACCCTCTTTCAGTTTAAAACCATTATCTCTTGTCCTGTTGCAACAGCGCTGCTATAAAGTGTGTACCATATTTCTCAAAAGTCCCCTCTAGGGTACTGGAAGGTTGCTATAAGATCTTCCCAGAGCTGTCTCTTCTCCAGGCTGAACAAGCCCAACTTTCTCAGCCCTTCCTTATATAGAAAAGGTGCTCCATCCCTCTGATCATTTTTGTGACCTTCCTCTGAACCCAGTCAAGGAGTCCGTATCTTTCCTGTGCTGAGAACTCCAGAGCTGGACGCAGTACTCCAGGTGAGGTCTTGGGAGAGCCGAAGAGGGAAAATCACCTCCCTTTACCTGCTGGTCGTGTTTCTTTTGATCCAGCCAAGGATACAGTTGGCTTCCTGGGCTGCACCTTGCTGGCTCAAGTCCAGCTTTTCATCCACCAGTACCCCAAGTGCTTTTCCCCAAGGGTGCTCTCAATCCCTGCATCCCCCAGGCTTGTTTTGATGCTGGTTTTAAAATCATTCCACTGCACTGATCTCTTTGCATCTTCCTTAAAATGTGAGGGACACTTAAGGACTTCTGTAGATTGTGCCTACTGATCACCTCTTGGGTGCTATCAGCAAGCATGTTGTCTTAGCAAAAGTAGAAATTAACCAAAACTAATTCCTAAGTTAAGTACTTGAATATGAACACTTTTGCTTTCACCCACGTTGCCTTACACTGTTGTAAACATCTAGTTTCATTGTAATGCTTTCTGGCTTTTTGTTACACTCTGAAAAGCTTGACAGCTATCCATCTATCTTTCAGTACAATAGAATTTGTTCAGTTCTTTTGTACTCTGCATAGCTTTTATAGCTTTCATTTCTTATGCATCTTTCCTACCACTCATGTTCACAGCACTTGGTGTGTCCAGTATGCTGTCTCCTGGTCTGTGTTGGGGCTGCCTGTGTAGACCATCCAGTATCAATGTAATTGAATCTGGCAACAAAATTGACTTTCACTTAAAAATGGAAAGGAAGGGTTGGGGGAGCAGAAGCAGGTGTGGGAAAGACGAATAATTGAACAGGAAAATTAATTCTGAAAATTGAACATTAGAAGGATATAGTAAAATTATTTGTGCATTGAATATAAAACATACACCTCATTTAAAGATAAAAAGGAATTTATGCCTTAGTTACCATTACTTAAGAAAACAGAAGCTTTTGTTTCTGTGCTTGTCTGAGAGTGCAAAGACAAAAATTGTGGTATTTTGCAGATATTTTTTTTTCTTTTAGTTCTGGTGAGGGTTTCAATGTGTTTTACATCAAAAGAGCTTTAAATTGACAGCTGTTGTTGCAGCCATCATTTCAGGTTTCATCAATTGACTGTAGAAGAGGAATGGATCTCTTGATTGACATGTGCTGTGTTGAGTTCAGCATATATTTCGTTATTTGTGCAAGAGGGGGTACTGGGATTCAGGGGTATATCCATTAGTCCTCAGTGATGGCCTTATAAAGGTGACTGTAGAGCATGGGGAGCAGGGCCTGCAAGCCTGAGTGGGCTAGGAGTGGAAACCAAAGGTGCAGAGAGATTTCTGAGTGTTCTGTATATAAGGTTTAGGGGTAGGAAACAAAATAAACAGAAGAAAGAAAAGAAAAGAACATTTGTCATTAATAACTCAGTTTTCTTCTAATTGTTATAATTAGTAATAGCTACGGGAATCTTATCAATGTTCTGTAATTTGATTACAAGAAAAAGTTTTCTGTTTGTTCCAGATGGAAGAAATAATGAATTTAGTAAGCAATGGCTGTATTAAAATCTAAAAATGGCTTGTAGCTAAAATTCTTTAGGCAATCCTAGTTCCTAACTTCTTCCATCCCCCGCGTGTGAGTGTGTATCTCAGATCTAACAGACCCCTGGAAATCACTGTCAAATGTTTGAAATAGCTGCTTGACTCAGTAGATGTAGAAATATCATTAATAGCATTTTTCTTTTCTTCTGGAAAAGAGGCTGCAGAAGCTCCTAAATATGTTTTACCACTCTTTTTGGAAGCACTCTGTATCACAGCAGCTGAAAACATCAATGGTTTTTGTCTTCCCACATAATTTCTTAGTGCGTTATATCTGTCCTTGAAGTGCTGTTTCCCAAAATACACAGTTTATGATTCACTGTGGAAAAACCCTTTTCTTAAGGGTTTGTCTAAGCATTGTAAATATTGGAAATCTTTACTGCAGAGAAGT